ATGACAATAGGTATGGGCTGGTGGAGGAGGCTTGTTAGGCATCTTAGTGCCTGCTGCTGCCATAAGGCAGTCTCAGCACTACTCCTTACTACTCCTTACCATCTACTCTGAGTGGAAAAGAGTACAGCTTACTGCCACATGCAGCAGGCAAAAATAAAATGGGAATATGGAGCACAACATTTCTTTGTGGGCAAGTGCAATATGTTATTAGGAAGATGTTTTCAAATGTAGATTTAGAACCAAACTTCTAGAACTGAGTGTACATACTCTGGAATCTTCAGATTTACTTACTAAAAAGGGGGTTTTGTTTTGCTTTGCTACTAAATTACCACTTTAGTTAAATCAATTATGGCTGTGCTTTGGTAATGGTTTCTGAGTAGATGACATTACTGCCTTGGCCAGTAGTATTGTTTAATGGGAAGATGGCATTTCAGGAAAAGCACGGCTTATCTTTTGCTGTTGCCTTTTTATTGGTCAAGCCGATGCAGATGCTGACCTATTTTGAGTGATGGGGGGAGGGAGGATTGTTTTGTTGTGCTGACTGCTAGATAAAATAACCTCAGTAACTGCAAACTCTTACTTTCTCTTGCTTGTTTTAAATTATGGACAGCTGTTATTTATTATTCATTTGATGCCATGTGCAGAGGATACAGACTGTGTCTTTCTATTTGGGAAACTTACAGCATTATTAATATATAATTAATGATACTGTAACACATCCCTTTTCATTGAGTTAAATGAGTTGTGGCAGACATCTAGATTCTTGCAGAAGGGATAATTTGGAGATGTACCATGTGATTAATGTATTATGTTTTTTTTCATTTAATGGCCTTTCTGGTAAAACTAAGCCAGGCGATCTTCCTTCTGAAGCGTGTTCTAAAACAATCCTTGTTCCTTTTGTGCGGCAGGGAACGGCGACCCACCTGGGCTGAGGAGAGAAGACTAAATGCTGAGACCTTTGGAATCCCTCTGCGTCCCAATCGCGGCCGTGGAGGGTTCAGAGGCAGAGGGGGGATTGGCTTCCGAGGTGGAAGAGGGCGAGGAGGTGGAAGAGGTGGCTTCACTGCCCCCCGAGGATTTCGTGGTGGATTCAGAGGAGGCCGTGGAGGCAGGGAGTTTGCTGACTTTGAATATAGGGTAAAATACATTTAATCTTACTATGATCTGGTCTGCTGCTCTTGGATACTAGTGGTAAAAGAATTCCTGCTTTTAGATTTGATGTTCAACTAGAATTTCTTGAATAGTATTTTGCAGATACTCTGAGCTGCTTAATTGAAAATCTGTTAATGCTGAAATTTTAGTTACAGAGCATCATTTTACTATCAACAGCAGCCAAAACTGAAAGCTACCTTTATTCACATGCCCTAAATATTTGTTTTGTAGCTGCAATTGAGGATGGAAAGCAAATAAAGTAAAAGTTCTGCAGATCTAATACAAATGTTAGAAATGTGAATTGCAAGCATTTTTCGAAGTGTTATAGTAAAATATTAAGATTGAGAGGGAGTAATTGAACTTACTTCAGGTGTGCAACAAGCTCTTTTGAAGTCTTTGTGAATGAGCTGGCAAAAGCCTATAGACTTCCAAGATCCTATATAACCCCTAAAATAGAGTCATTGAAGTTACTTAAACATACTGATGACCTTTTGCAAAAAGGAAGATAAATATCTGAGTTCTATAAGGTCCTGTTAAATGCTTTTTTTGTTTTTCTAACTGTGACTTCACACAGTTACATGCAGTGGCTGCTGGAAAGCTAAGGCAGGACTGATGTTTTTCAGTCAGTCATTCAGTGAAAAGGAAGTGTGAGAGATAAGGCATAAAAGCCTTAGGAAAAAATAGATCGCTGTCCATCCCATAGAGAAAGTGGTTTTAAAAGATTAATATAAGTACTACTACATTATCTTTAGTTAAGGGAACTTTAAGCTTCATTCATCTTTAAGCATTACATGCAAGCCACCGTGTGGCCGGCTGCAGTAACCTGATGAACAAACACGCTTTCATCATCACAGAACCATAGGAATAGTCATCTCTTCTCCAAGAGCTGTGATGGCTAAAAAGCAGAATCTTCCTTTACAGCAGAGTTACATGATTTGTTGCTTTTGCAACACTGTTAAGACATCCGATTCTCTGTTTGTTGAACTTCACTCTTTCCACCAGCCATCCAGAGGAAGGACAGAGCTGGCTGTCAGCCCCAGCCAGTGAAGTGGGGTGTTCTGTGCCTGCAGTACCTGTGGGGCAATCAACAGAAATTCTCCTCCTTACCAAAGCTCATTGATCATTCAGATGATGTAAATCAGCAGAGCTCAGTTGGCTGCAGAACCGAAATCCTATAATAATTCCAGTGCAGGCTGTTTTTCTTGGCATGAAGCGCGTATATTCAACTTGAATGATAGCTTGCTAAGGAACAGCAATAATACTGGATCAGTAACAAATACAGTTAACCAGATTGGTGCAAGTAAATGTAGCCTTTTACAATTCTGACCAGGACGGAAAAACTTTTTCTAGTAGTTTACTGCATGAGCAGTTAGAGCTTTGCAAAACAAAATCTTTGTTTTCTGTTTGAAGATTTTTTTTTTTTTTTAATTTAAAAAGAAAAGGGGGGGGGAGCTTTCTCGTCACAGATTTCTGACCATCTCTCAGATATTCCTTCATTAGTTTGCAATAATTAGTCCTGTGATTAGAAGACACTTTTGGTAGCTGAGCATGCATTGAAGTGAGGGGCTGAAGATTGATGATGTGAATTTCTGAGGGAACTAATTGCTTAGCCTTCTAGATAGCAGGAGGGGTGAGGAGCGGGGACTCGTCAAAGTGAGGAGCTGCTTGATGGCCTGGGTGTCCCAGGCCCAGGGGCTGTGAGGAGATGCTGCTCTGCTCCCATAGGGAACTGTCCTTTCCCAGTGCGGAAGACAAGGAAGTTCAGCACCTCTTCTCCCAGTGCTGTTCCCGGGTGAATTTGTGGGGTTTGTTCTGCAAAATTAACTTTTATCATTCTGCTGTTGTTCCCTCTAGAAAGACAACAAAGTTGCTGCATAGTCTACGAGAAAGCTGAAACCGGGTGAACGTCTAGATCTTCTCGATCCAGAGAGCTAGTTTCAATCTCTGCAAAGAATGAAGTTAATTTGCTGTATACTTGTCACCAGCACTGGGATTTAACTATTTAATTTCAAAGGGGTGTAATGCAGTTACTTTTGAAAAATGGCCATCTTTGAAAACAGTGAGCATTAAATATATTTGAGACAGAAGGATAAGTAATTTCTTATGTATAGTTAATTATAAAGCAGTACTTCGATGGAGTTTAAGTATTTTTTCATCACTGAAAGGATTTTTCTTATTACTAAACTGTATTTGATAATTGCTTCAAGTTGTAAGGACAATTGTATGCAGAAGGCCGTCGATACTGTGAGTGTTTTGATCCACTGAAGGTTGTTTTTTGGAAATCCTGTAATATCCCTTTTGAGATAGTTGTACTTTTATCAACTAGGGTGCTGGACAGTAGGAAAACTTGCTTTGTCAGTCAGATATGTACACACAGTAAATACTGTTTCTTAGGCAAAGGAAACTTTTTATATAGTTGTAAAATTCCATTATATCCCATTGCCAAAGAAACATTACAAACTTTGTATAGCTGTATAAAAAGCGACTAATTTTTTAAAGAATAAACATTTTTAAGTCGGCAAACATACTGTGTTATTGCAAAAGTTGATATGCTGAAGAACACTGAATTAGTTGGGTTTTTTTCTTTAGCAGCTTTTCAGGCTTAAGTGTTTGATTTTATATTTGGGCTATAATGAAGATTTGAAAATGTTCTTCCATTACACGAAACTGGATACACTTTTCACTTCTCTTGCAAGAATTTGATTTTTTTTGTAGTTTCTGGCATATCACAGGATTTGACCAAATTAAGGAGCTATTTTCAAATGAGGAGAAAAATAAATTTTCGTATGTCAAAACTTGCGATTAATTTTACTTAGTGATAAATATTAACTTTTTTTAATAATGGACCAGGCACACGAGTTAGTGAATCTCCTGGAATGCCTGGGCCAAAAGTATGTCTCCGTTTGTCAATTCTTGAAATGTTAACTTTGTTGTAATACCTGTAGGCATAAGCAATTTAAAGAATTCTTAGTGTTTGAAGTTGTTTGCATTTTGATAGACCGTAGCTCGGAGACAGGGGCGCTCTGGCTCAGACCGTGAATTCACAGATGACAGAGTATGGACTTTTTGCCAATTCTGAATGACTGGTTACACCTTTCCTTTTTTTTCTTTTGATATGCTGAAATAGAAACCTGGTCATTTGTGTCTGTATATGTATATGAAGGCCACAGGAATAAAGGGATCCAAAGATTAAAATGTTTTGATCTAATTTGCTGATTTATTTTTTATTTTATCTTCAAAATGTTCAGTGGTGATAAAAGGATGTGGAAAAACTGCACTGTTGGAAAATCGGAGTATTTAAAAGTGGTTGATAGAATCTTAATTTTATAACTTTTGTATAGCACTACAAGGAAGTATTTTGTAATTGGTTTCCTTATTAAGGTCAAGTAGAAGTTAGGTAATATTGTTTAGTAATGTTTTTTTGGGGTTTTTTTGCATGTTGACGACTGCCTTTTTGGGATCCACTGATCATGACTCTTGAACCGCTGGAGGGGGGGGGATTTGTTTGACCGTAGAGACGAGTGCTGTCCTGTCGCAATAACTCTGTAATACTGTACCAGGTGTCCCAGGCTTTATTTAAACACCATGAATTTTGTAAATAACCCGTGAGGGAGGGGTGGATGGATGGATGCCCTCAGGGAAGGCCTTTCCCTGGGGAGGGGGCGGGGAGGCGAGGCGGGTGCCTGGGAACCAGCACCTTGTGTACCTCGCTCCACAAAAGCGAGGGTTGCTCTTCATTTTTTTTTATTTTTATTTTAAACCAGAATAAATCGTTCAATAAAATCAGGCGCTTTTTTGACGTTATTTCTGCGGTTCTGAGGCACGTTTAGTCCCTCCCGCTTCGGGGCGGGGCTAAACGTGCTGAGGGGACGGTTCCCGTCAGCCATTGCGGCGGCCGCCATGTCCGTGGCCTTCGTGCCAGAGCGGCTGCGAGGGAAGGCTGAGGTGAACCAGGAGACGCTGCAGCGGGTGAGGCGGGGGGAGGCGGCGGCGGTGGTGCGGGGGTCCGTTTTACGGTTGGGCTGAGGTAAAGCCGGCCGGGCGGGAGGCGGTGGTGCGGGTTTTCCTCCCGGCTCGACTGAGGTGAAGCCGGCCCGGTGTGAGGCGGGCGGAGGTACGGGCCCGTCTCGCGCCTCGGCTGAGGTGAAGCCGGGCCGGCGTGAGGGGGTGGTGGTGCGGGCCCGTTTCCCGGCTCGGCTGAGGTAAAGCCGGCTGGGCGGGATGCGGTGGTGCGGGTTTTCCTCCCGGCTCGGCTGAGGTGAAGCCGGGCCGGCGTGAGGGGGGGGTGGTGCGGGCCCGTTTCCCGGCTTGGCTGAGGTAAAGTCGGCCGGGCGGGAGGCGGTGGTGCGGGTTTTCCTCCCGGCGCCGGGCCCGTTTCCCGGCTGGGCTGAGGTAAAGCCGGCCGGGCGGGAGGCGGGCGGTAATGGCGGAGGTGCGGGCCCATTTCCCGGCTCGCCTGAGATAAGGCCGGCCCGGCCTGAGGCGGGCGGTGACGGCGCGCTCCTCTGCCCTAGTTGCTGGAGGAGAACGACCAGTTGATCCGGTGCATCGTGGAGTACCAGAGCAAGGGCCGGGCCACCGACTGCGTGCAGTAAGTGCATCCTCGCGGGCGGGCTCCCACCCCGGCCTGGCCACTCGCCGCCGCCTCTGGGCCAAGCACCTCACAGTCCCCAGATATCTGACAAGAGTGAGAGGCTGTTCCTGCTTTCCAGAGCTTTCCTGCTGCTTTATAGAACTTTCCTGCCACATTCTGTATAGAATAATGCCTTTTGCTTTTTGTCAGGGTTTTAGTTCTGTGTTAACATGAAAACCAGCTGTGTTGGGCAGGCTTTCCTTCCAGCCCGGTGCTTGTGAAAGGCTGAGTGGCTTTTAGAGCCCAGTGAGGCAGGCAGCCCGTGGCTCTGCCGCAGCTCCGCTCGCAAGCCCGTGCAGGCAGCGTGTCTGAGCCGGGGCTGTGCTGGCTGCAGGGTCCAACCAGCCCAGCAGCAGAGCTTTGCCATCTCCTGCTTTCTGGCAGCGCTGCAGCTTTTTGGTGTTGATGATACAAAGATCTTAATTGTGCATGTTTACTGTCAAAGCTGGTACGTAGAAGGTACTTGGTTGGAGTGCAGTTCACTGCAGTATGCAGAGCTTTAGAATAATAACAGGATATGAAGGTTTTTGCCGTGAAGTTTTTAAAATTATTATCTTTCCCTAGGAGCAAATATTGATCAGATTACGAAAGTGGCTGTTAAAGTGTGAGCAGTTTGCTAGAAAATAACATGATTCCCAGATAACGTGTTTCTTCCTCTTATAGGTACCAGCATATCCTGCACAGGAACCTCATTTATTTAGCCACGATTGCTGATGCGACGCCAGCCAGCACGCAGAAGGCTGCAGAGTGACCGCACACGCCTGGACACGAGCAGCGATGCTTTAGGGATCTGTAGAAACACTTAGTTTAAAGTCCCACTTTGAGAGCTGAGAAGGTATGGGCTTGAAAGGCAGGTACATAGTTATCGATACTTTGATAAAAACACAATCGTAGTTTTTGATGTAATATTAGGCTGGTTTTTTTGCTCATTACTGTAAGAAGAACTTAAGGGTGATAATTATCATCCTCCTGGTTCCCCTCTGACAAACCCCATGTACCGTACTTGGGAAAATGGCCCGGTTGTGGGGACAGCGCTACCACAGATGCCTTTGGAGGACTCTCACAGTCTCGTTGAAGCAGAGGCTGTTTCCTGGCAGAGGGTGTATAGTAAGAGGGTAAGCATTTAGCTGGTAACTCCTAACTCCAGCGTGACAAAGTCAAGTCAGTCATACGTTGCCATATTTACAAACGGTAGACTGCTTTGTATCTTGTGTCGTATAAATTGTGTGTAATAAACTAAAGATGTGTTTTGTAAATTATAGTACATTGTGGATTAATGTAACATGTTAACAAAGGAGCAGCTCGGTGATGTAGCAAAACAGAAACATGAACTCTTCCTGGAAAGATGGGACCATTGCATAACTTAAAACAATTAAGTGCGAGAGAGAAATCAAGCCTTTACTCCGGCGAGAGAAGGCTGTGTTTGCCTGAGTTGTGTCAAGAGTTTTTGGTTGAAATGCTCTGTACTGCAGACTCTGTGAACAAGTCAATTCTTGCATGACCAACACGGACTCACACACTTCCTGGGTGTTTGTGGTCAGCCCTGTGCTGGTGTGCTCTGCCCCAGAGCGAGCACAGCTCACTTGCACACCTTGATGGTGTAATTAGTAGAAGCTAAACCAGTAGCCTTGACAGTAGTTCTGTCGGGCAGAGGAGGAGTTTACTTCTTGCTCGCTACCATGAAAACTATTTCCTCTGCTGGCTAAAGACTCTAGAAACGTGGGTTTGGTGATGTCCATCTCTGCGCTCCGGCTCAGCGGTGCCTGTACTGTGTCCTTGGTGCAATCTACTTGAAGGTGCAGCCTTAAGGAAGCCTCAGATGGTACAGTGCACAGAGGCCATTTTATAGGATGAGTCAGTAAGTAGGCAGTTGACAATTTTCAAACTGTTAAATAATCCCATGTTAATGAAATAAGATCTTTGTTTACAAACCAAAGTTACAGTTTTAAGGTGCTGCTCATTTTCAGCAAGGTGCATATTTTAAACAGGTATGACCTATTAAATGTATATCTTTAATAAAGCAAATAGTTTACTTTTACAGAAGCTTTAAAATACAAAATGTACAGTTCCAGTTCCGAAGCATTCGCTATTCACAAGGAGCACTGCAATAAGGGTAAGTTAACTAAGCACCAAACCCTTGCACTTGGCAGTGTAAGTGAAGTTTAATGGCAAGACTCGTTTGCCAAGTGCAACAATTCTTAAAATGACCAGTGTTCAGAACAATCGGAAGCAAAGGACAGAGTAGCACCTACGTGGTCAAAATGCAGACAAACTTGCCTCGCGTTCACCGTTGGCTTATGTCGGTCCAGAAACTTGCCAGCATTTGTCATTATGGATCAACTGCAAACCCTAGAGCAATCGTTTTGGCACTTGTTAGAAAAAGTTCAAAATTAAGGAGTTTTCGTTAACTTCCATTTTGGTCTTAGTACGAATAACCAGTAAGTACAACCAAATTTAGGATTTAATATTAGATCTAAATGACAAGATTTAGGAAACTCAAAACCATTCATCAAGTTAAATAACCACTAACATTTTCAGCAGAAGGTTTTCAAAATTATAGTAGTACAGACCATTAACAATTTACAGACAGAAGCCACACTGATTGTGCAAAGCACATTACTGTAAAAAGTCTATGTACAGCAAACAAATCTCTGTAAACATGGTAAGTATGAAGTCTCAGAAAACATGGTGACAATATCATAAATACAGGCAACATTGGCATCCTCAAACAGCACAAAAGGTAACAATCTGGGCCTGCAAATACAGCCCGTCACCATACGAACAAAAAAGGTGGATGGGCTTTAAATACCCCAATGTTTAATAGTTTTAGTGTTGTGTATACTTTTTTTTTTATTTATATATATATAACGTATTTATTTTTTGGTATCTTTAGATATAGATGTACTTAGTTTGTAAAAACAAAAACAACAAATGTGCTTTATCTTCATTGAAAAATTATGTAGTTAGAACTAATAACCCATTTTACTAGTAGTTAACATATTAGAATGATATGACTTAAGAAAAATACAAAAATAAGATTAATACTGTCAAAACTCTTATACCAGAAAATATTGTGGTTTTTAGACTCTTTCAAAGATGAAATATGAAAATTTAAATAAGCTCTAACTATATAAAGAATCTTCTGTAATCTCAATTACTATACAGTGGGATAGCTATACATATGTTTACCATTGTTCTTCAGTTTTTAAGCACCAGTCACTCTCCCCGATCCACTTTGGTTGGAAGATTATTCCTAATTCCACAGGTTCACTTAATGGCACATATCGACTGCAAATAATTACTTTATCCTTTTAAAAAAAATAATGTTCTTTTAACTAACGGCTACCCCACGTTTCGGTTTAGTATCTTCTGAGCCAGCTCACAATTTTTTTTAATCGACTGTAGCATCTGAAATAAGACTTTAAATACACACGAGTAGTCTGTGGGGCTGTCCTTTCCGAGGGCCAGGAGCAGGGTGGGGTGACGCCCGGGGCCACGGGGAGCAGCGGGAAACGGGGTGTCGATGTGGGGGTGCCACCGCCTCCCGGCACCTCGGGGAGTGTTTGTCACTCAAGGCTGAGCTGGTCCTCCCTCGGAGGAAGGGCACCACCACAAAACTCCGTTTCCCAGCTGCTCCCGTGGCACCCCACAAGCTGCTCTTGCACTTGGGTTTAAAAAAGCTGCCCCCCACATTCCTGGGGAGTGGGAAGGGCTCCCAGCTCCTCCCCCAGGAGCCGCAGCACAGTGTTGAGCAAAGCGACCACTATGTATTTGCTTCAACCTATTCGATGTGTTTCAGTAAGATGTTTTAACTATAAATCTATATGAAAAATAGCTATAAAATACAGTGTTTCTCGTATGGTAGTCCTTCAGCAGTTCTTTTAAAAAAAAAAAAAAAAAAAATTTTGAAAGTAAAGGCAATATACACATTTTTAAAAGCATTTCTACATCACAGTTTTGGGCTGTTTCATGTACAAACACACACATTGGCCACATTTGCTCAGCACTGTAGGTCAGAATTCATTAGTCCATCTCATCAGACCCCCTCCATTCCATCCTTAATGAGAGCAGCGGGACGTGGCCCGTACACGGCTGCGAGACAGAGTCTGTGGAATGGGCGTGTGGCCCCGTGCTGCCCGTCCCACTCCCCACAGCCACTAGTACTGGTGCAGGTACGACGGTCTGCGCTCGTGCTTCACGGGGAACGCTTTGAAGCCCTTATTGATGTGTTTGTGCTGGGAGGGCTGCTGCTGGGGCTGCTGCTGCTGCGCGTAGGCGAAGCCGGGGGACATCCCCGCCGCCGGGGCGCAGTCGGTGGCGGCGGCCCAGACCGGGGACTGCAGCATGGGCATGGTGTCACCCCACTGGCTGGCGGGGCTGCCCAGCGGGTAGAGGGAGCTGCTCTGGCCGGGCAGCGCGCTGGGCACGGAGGAGGTGTGCTGCCAGGGAGCCTTCGGCGGCCAGGTTTTGGTTTTGTTATCCTGACAAAACAGAAAGAGTTGGTTTGGGGGTTTTTTTGTTCGAATACCAAAACAGTTTCTTGAGACAATACTTGTAACACATTGTGGTACCCCCTCCTTAAGACATTTTCAGAAGATGATGTTTGCAAGCAGCATTAGAACACAGCACTCTCAATTCTCAGAATATTGGTGTATCAAAGAACCTGTTTATTTACTTCAACATGTGCTCACAGTAGCCCTGCTCTACCTCAGAGTTTCCAGCAAGACATCAATCTGGTGATACTCTAGTTTTCTCTGTACAGACAACTAAAATTGACTGTGTTCTCGCTTTAGCTTGAAATCTTTGGTTTTGTGGTAATTTCAGCTACAAGGGAAAGAGATAAATGATTCCAATTTTAACAATTAAACTCAGTACTTTAGACAAAGGCACCTAGTAAAAGATAAAGGCACTGTGCTTGAGTGGAGATGGTTTGGGTTTTAGCCGAGGTAACCAATCTGGAGGCACAGATGCTATTCTGGTTGTTTTCCCAGTGTAAACCCCCCAAAATGCAAACGGGAGACATGACTGAGCCACCCGCTCCCAGCTCACCTGATTGCGGTCCTCTGCTGCGGAGAGCAGGGGTGGGGAGGGCAGCGTGCTCGGTTCCTGTTCCCCACTGCTGTGTTTTCTGCCCAAAGAAAGAGTGACATTTACTTTTTTTTTTATTTAAAAAAATGAGTCGCCCCCATCAACCCGCCGTTCTGCAGTTCAGGCTGTCACAGCGAGAGCCCAGACCCCACGCTGCCCTGCCCTCTGGGCACGAGCAGCAGCGCACACCCTTCTGCAGAGGGGAAAGGACAGTGGGCAAGGCCTCTGCCCACTTCAAAGAAATCTGCCAGAAATTGCCTTTTTCTTCTGCTCTCTTTTTGGTTTTGTCTTTTTTTTAAAAAAAAATTCAAAGATGGCGTCTGAGACTTCAGGAAGAAGTGTCATCCAAAACACATTATCTTGGAAAAGCATCAGATCTTTTCTAAACACACCGAATTTCAGCTAAAAACCGGCTCTTTGCACAGACAGTAGTTTGTCTGAGCTGACGGCTGCTCACACAGCTCCATTTGGGAGTGAATGTGCGTGTCAGCGTTACCTCCTCTGCTTCACCGCCGCAACCAGGTCTGGCCCTGAGAACATGGAGAAGAGGCTGTCTCCGTTAGCTGAGGAGGTCTCGTCGCTGGAGCTGGCCGAGTCCCCCTGCGTCCCAGACCAGCTGTTTGTCACGTCGCTGCAAGAGAAACCTCCTGTCAGTGCTGTCTGCACACTCCTGCTCGGGGGCACCCATGGAAAACGTGCCAGTGACACCAACGCTTCCACCCCCCTGCTCCTGGTGACACCTCACTGCGCTGCCCAGTCACTCGGCATATAAAGTTTACCGAGCTAATGATAGGAACTCAAGGTGCCTCCCCGGTCAGGAAGGAGGAACGGAGGTTCTGGGGTTTGGAATCACTAAGCAGGTGACTCCTTCATTGCAAACTGAGCCTGAACACACCCTTGTCCCAGCGGATTTAAGCTCTCTTGGGAATCACAACTAGTGTGTCATGGAGAAGGACTGAGGGTTCTGAAATATTCCTGTTGGAATAAATAGTTCTGATTTGGAAGAGATGACAAAGGAGTAACATACTGCTGTAAGGTGCCACGAGATGCCCCAGAGAAGTCAGGTTACGTAGCTTACATCTGGAAAGCTGATGCTTCCAGAGCATCACTCTTCATCAGAAGAGTCTTACAGGTTTTCAAAATACTGAAAGAAACCCATTCTGAATGAATCTGCTGTAAATTCCTCCTTCCCTCTGAGCTAAGGGGAGCATCACCCAGTGTCAGTGCTTGGGAATGGGTGACAGTTGACGTTCCTCACTCGACAGAACAAGGCGGCTTTCCCAGCCCCTGCAGAACCCCCCCGTGCTCCCACCAGGCCGGAGGGGGAGCAGCCCCACCGGATGGACACGCGTGGGCTGGCGGGTCCCTTACCCCTCCGTGAAGTACTCGGGGAAGGGCCAGGTTTTGTGAGGGTCGTCGGGCAGCGGCCAGTTGCCCCGCGTGCTGCTCGGGCGCCGGACGTGCTGCGCCTGCCGCTTCTGCTGCATGGCCTGGTTCACCCCGGCCACGTAGCGGGCAAACTCCGGGTCCGAGCCGACTGGGTAAAAGAAAGCAGGAAGTCAGTCGCTGACATTCAGCTATTCCCACTGCAATTATCCCCCTTGTTTAATCCTTTGGGTTTGGGCATACCCACAACAGAAAGAATTCCCTCACCGATAATAAATGCCGGATGACAGCTGATACCTCTTCTGGAGCAGGGAAGAACACCAAATGTGGAATGTTTTTTAAAAGTAAAACAAGAATGAAGAAAATCACTTGTTTCTACACGTCCTTTATTACATGATAAGGGACAAAGCTCTCTGACAGCTGGACAAAACCAAACCATTCCCACTAATAATCCTTCTCCTGGAGAAACAGCTTTTGGGCAGTGTAAGGTGCGGCTGGAACCAGACAGAGCCCCACGTCCAGGGTCTGATTCCAGAGATATTCCCAAGAGTGTGCAGGTTCTGTTTCCTACAGGGATCCCTTTTATATTCAAAATAGCAGCTTGTGCTGATTTTTACCTCAAGAAAAACCTACCAGGTAAACAGATTTTATCAGAGACTGTTTTTACTTTATTCTTCAACATCTGTGAAAATAATTCCAAAGACCCGGAGGTATCAATATTCCTTCTACCAGTTCTCACTACAACGCTCCTTCATCAGGTTCATACAGATGAGAAAAGTACTGCAAAATCCATTTTGGGCAGCTAGTTGAGTCTTTGACAGGAAAACCATCAATTCCATAAATTCTTGATTAAAGGCTCTGTGCTACCTGAACTGGAGCTTCCACTGACAATTCCCCTATCACAGCCCAACCCAGCAAGTTACATGGAGAAAAGTTACCTTTCCCATGGAAAAATCTATTTGATTGGAAGGTTTTTTGTTTGGGTCTGTTTTTTAACACCCCAGATTTGTGGAAAATACTGTCTACTTAGCACTTCCACTGTAGGAACATAGACCTGTATATCAGATATTGTTTATCAACTCAAATAAGTCACCTTTTCAGAGTACCATTTCCAAAGCCCTCGATATTCATCACACCAAAAGGAACAACCCATGTAGCTTTGTGGAGATCCAAAGGAAAACACTACAGAAATAGCAGGGATTCAAAATACTAAGAACACTGCTCCTTCACATACGTGCAGTTTTTCCCCCGCACGTACACGTGTGGTGTTTGGTGAAAGTAAACGCATCCCTCCTTAAAGGTTGTGACAATCCTTCAGTATCTGCCACAGGTGTGTTTAAATAAGATGATGCTAATTCAGACTTAGAGTTGTTAAGAAGCTTTTGATAACGGAACTATGCTGCCTATTTTTGCCTTATGCTATCAGTTAGGTTGACAAAGTCACTATCATGTAATTATGAGTCAAAGGAGGTGGTTTCTGAGAGGTCTCTGTATCCTGACACACGCGTGTGCAAACAGGCAGGGAAAAGGATTCCTGGTCTGAGAATGGGTTTTCCTGCTGTGGTGCTGCTTCCCTCCAGGTTATAAACGCACACACCAAGGTTCTAGAGTGATGTCCCAGGCCAACAGAAATTATATTTAGGAGAGAATAGATTTGTAAGTTGTTCTTAGTTCTGCTACCAGAATTCATTCATTTCCTCTTCAACTCTACACTCACTGGCAGAGTCGTTAGCTGTTGGCTTCTGGCTGTAACATTTGCTCCTGCTTCATCTCTGCATTTACAGATCACTGGGGGTTTAGGCACATCTGGCAAACCACATGGCACCTGCTCCTCAGTCTCTAACCCCTCTGCATCCAACCTTTTCCCTGCAGGAACAGGAACCAGTACGACTCCCGTGGAGCCGCGGTGTCGGAGGGGGAACGCAGGGGAAAGGTGTGATCCGGCTGCATCTCCTGACTGCCAGACTGGGGACGAGCAGGAAGGATTGTTGCGAGGAGAGGTAAAGTACATCAGTTTAACAGTTAGGTTTTAAACAATTTTAGAAATTAACAATAGGAGGAACGTGATCTGTAAGTATCTGCTTCAGTACTCTGATGTGGTCCGTACAGGAAAGGTCAGAACCACTACGACTGGGACAAGAAACAAGGAATTCATTTCTGTTGTTATTTATTAATGAAATGTCTTGTACTTTAGTTCACCTTCTATATAAATCCCTGCTTGCCTCTGTGAGCACCCTGGCACCTGGGGGATAGCACTAGGAAGTGACAGTTATTGCTGGCAATATTTAACAGTACTCTTTGTAAAAGGACTCTCATAAAAACCATAATAAAGGAAAAGGCACACACCTGCAGGGTCAAAAGGCAGGATTTCTCCCAGCATCCCAAACACTCCATCAGTTTGGTCACGATTTGGCCACGTGTTGTTTCTAGGTCCTTGCGGTTTCTGTCCCAACATCTCCGACATCACGTTGTCCATGTAGCTGCTCACCAGGCCCAAGCTGTACAGATCCGAGCTCAAATCTGAAAACCCGGGGTTGTTCCACTGGTTCATATGAGACATCCCGGCCCCGACAGCCTGGGCCGGCTGCTGGGAGGAGCTTCCCAGCCACTTGGCAGGCACGCGCTGCTGTGGTCCGATGGGCTGAAGCAAGTGTTGGTAATACTGCATTTGCTGCTGCTGCTGCTGCTTTTGGGGCTGCTGCTGCTGCTGCGACAAGCCCTGCTGCTGCGGGGGATGCAGCGGCGCGTGCGAGACCGACTGCGGCTGCTGTTGGACCGCTCCCGACTTCTGCTCCGCTGCTGCACTGGATGCAACCGAGTTCCTCCTTTTCACCATCGGAGAAGTCTGCTGGGATTTGCCCATGTTAAAACCAGACAAGAAATCGATAACATCCTGCATTTCTTGGTCAGTTGGTAAATTCATACCTTTGTCATCCTTCCCGTCATCCGGCTTGAAGAAGTTGTCCCGTCTGTCAACTACAAACCCGTTCACTAACTGGTTGTTTGTGCTCTGGGCTGGCTGCAGCGCATCCGCCGTCCGAGGGAAACTCCCAATGTTCAAAATGCTCTGTAACCGCCCGTCGATGGTAGCGGGCATTTTCGCTTTCTCCTCTGAGCTGGAACTGATGAAGACGTTTTTGGAAGGTGTACTGGGGATTGAGTAACTTCCAGTATTACTCGTACTGGTGCAGGAAGTTTTTTTTGTAAACCGTGAAGTCAGTTTTGAGAAGGTCTTCTGCAGACCACCTGAAGATTTGCTGCCGTTTCCGGATGGCATGTCGACTTGATTCCCGAAGTCCGAGATCTCCCGCTGCAGCTGGATCTGAATGCAAGGCAGAGCCTGCTCCCTGCATCGACACAAACACCCCGATCAAACCACCCCATACAGGACTGAGGGGTGCTTGGGAGGAAAAGGTGTATTTGGGGAATAGCAAGGGGCAGGAACAAAGCCAAAGATTGCCAACTTCCTCAGCTACTTCTTATGGAAACAATGCAATTATTACTAGTGTTTGCAGTAGCGTTAACTACATTTTTTAAATTTTAATTGTGCTTCAAGACCTAAATGGAGATTAGCTTATTACAATGATACGATGAGGGGTAATGGTTTTAACTTCAAAGAGAGATTTAGATCAGATATTAGAAAGACTTTCTTTGCTGTGAGGGTGGGGAGAGCCTGGAACAGGTTGGCCAGAGAAGCTGTGGCTGCCCCATCCCTGGAGGGGTTCAAGGCCAGGTTGGAGGGGGCTTGGAGCAACCTGGTCTGGTGGGAGGTGTCCCTGCCCAGGGCAGGGGGTGGCACTGGGTGGGCTTTAAGGTCCCTTCCAGCCCAAACCATTCTATGATTCTATAAATCAAGTATTTTTGCAAAAGAGAAACAAAGACTTTTGTACGCTTGGCTAAGCTGGGGTTGGTTTTTAAGAGGACTGTGGTATCTCTGCCTGTACCCACAAGGTACCTATGTAAACGACCCATTTCTCGCTCTCAGTTTGCCCCCCTCTGAAGCCCCAGCACTACCCAGCCCCCAGCAGGGCTCTGTCGGCACCCAGGGCTGTGTTTAACCCGGCTCGGGAGGAGCTGTACCTTCCCTCCTTCCACCGGTGCGTGTCAAACACTGCCGTGTACAGCACGTCCACTAGCCCCAGCGTCTTCTCGGGGTCCAGGCTCCTCTGCAGCAGAGACATTGTTGCTGGATCTTCCTTCAGACACCTGAAATGAAGAAGCTGGAGTTCAGAATCAAGGCGTTTATTCTCCCCAGGAAGTCAGGCAGCTGAGGGGTGCCCTCCCCGCCGTCGGCAGGCGGAGCTCTTCCAGAGCACAGAGCCCGCCGCAAACCGCTCCCAGCACTTCACTCCATGAAGGGAACAGAGACACGCCAGTTCATGCTCTACAGAGGGATTAGAGATTATTTGGGTAAACAATGAGTCCCTCGTACTCCTGGACGGGCCGCTGGTACCATTAGTGACAGGCTCCCTCGCCAAGGCTTCAGCTGAATGAGCTGCCTTGTACTGAAGTTCTCAACTCCAAAGGCTCCCAAGTCAGGGAGGAGGAGGAAATGTTGTCATTCCACAGCAGAGTTCCAAAAGGGAAGAGATCCTCACCTAAACTGCAGATTACTCCTACCATCCTTTCCTAGGCAGCAACTAAACTGGTGAGAATGGCTTCTCTGGCACCACAGAGCTCTGCGGCCCGTGACAGCGCGGACAGAGCAGCTCGGGGAAGGAGCTAAAGCTCTCACACTCCTCTCAGCTAACTCCTGGCCTTCCTGAGGTACCGGCTTGAGGACCTGCCAGGGAGGAGCATAACAGGAATACTACTGGATTAATTGATTTTTTAAACCTTCTCTTTCATCATCAAGCTTCTACTCTTTCTTTAAAAGTCTGTTTCAGTTTCAGTGCCTCTCCTCTACTGCCCCCACCAGAGGCAGCACTGGCACAGACAGTGAGGGACAACTGTCAGGAAGGGTGACATTCTACCAGTTCCAGACAGAGGAACTTCAGGAAGATTGTGTGGCTTTCTCTCTCCATGTGTAGTGCACTATTTCCCCGATATATTTCAGCCACAGCGATCAGTACAATCTGCAACACAATGTTTGTATTTACCAAGTCGATGGAACTTGCACCACGATTCTGGATCCTTCTAAACTTATCTGAGGAGCGTAGGCTTCTTTATTTTCAATCTGTGCTGTGTCCACAACCACCTAGGAAATAAATGCAAATAAAAGGGAAATGATTTTAAGGATTAGTTCTAGTTGTTTTATCACCCCCATAGTTAAGATGTGATTGTTTCAGCTCCCTGCCATGCAAAGAATAACCAGAAAGAACAAATCAAGTCACAAAATCATTATAAATTGATTTCTATCTTAATATCTAAAAAAAGAAAGACTAAAATGGTGCGTTTGACACAGTAACCTGTATTTCAAGGACTTCACTCTTCCCAGTTGCACACTGGAGTTACACATCACGGCGCAGTTACCAACTGCTTTACCCAAGAGCTGGCAGTTACCGATGGCTTCGTGTAACAGCCCTTACCTTTGAGAGGTTTGGCACTATTTCTACTTTAATAGCTCCCCAACACCTATTTATCAAAATATTTTAAATTTAACTGCAGAGCATGGTATGGTACAGACATAGTCTGAAACCCTTCCCAGAGCTCGCAGTTCTTAATGCCCCCGACTCCCTTTCCATTACAGAATCCCCCAGCAGCGTTCCTCTGTTCTACCCGTAGTCTGAAACCCTTCACAGAGCTCACAATTCTTACAAAATCCCCCAGCAGCGTTCCTCTGTTCTACCCTAGGGAACTCTACTGTCATTAATTCCCTTTTGCATAAAGGGAAGAAAAGGGACTGTTCAATTTGCTGAATTCTGAGCCTTCTGTAAGGCATCAGGAAGATATATGGAAGATGAAAGTCTTGAAAATTAACCTTCTGTCATGAACCTTTCTTTTTATGGAACTGAGAAGGAATGGATTCACTTCAGCTTCATTTAAAGTTTAATACCAGTGATAGTAAGTTCCATATTTGGTTCGTGCTTTCTGTTGTTGTCCACTCTCCTGGGTTGGCCTTTTTCATCATTTCCATAATGTCCTATTTTGGTCATGCTGAACCAGCAGCTTTTTGGCAGCAGTCAGCAGTTCTTGCTCCAGTGACCAACAGACTCGCTGCACCATTTATCCTTCAAATGGCAAAAGTCCTCTGGTAGAAAGAAGGCTCCAGGGATTTAACCGGCTTTTTTGCAATCGTCCTACACTGGTTCTACTTCTAACTGGCCATCTATTACTGGGTATGAAGAAATGTGAAATATGAATAATGCTGGGAGTCTCCTCTCCCTCTTGCTCTGACAAAACCATCCAATGACACTGACACACAATTATTTCCCACCTTTTAGATATTTTAGCCTAAGCCCTTAGTTTTCCCCCAGCTGACTCTCAGCATTTTCCTGAGTTCATTCAAACTTGTAAAACATGTCTGAGCAGAGTGACAATGGCCGTGCTATTATCCACCCAGGGAAATGCCTCCCACTTAATAACAGGGCAACTCCAGGACTTTTTTCCCCTTGTATTTCTACCGTTTTAATTTTGTGCAATTTGGTAATCTATTTGCCATATTGCAATATAATTAGGATAAGCAGAGATGAACTTAGGAGTGATCTTTCTGAGCTCCCAAGAAAAGTACTGTCTGCATCCCAGAGCTGAGACCCTGCTGTGTGCAGGCTTCCATCACCCAGGGCCGTGCTCATGGGCTGAGCTCTCAGGAGAGATCCCCTCCCTCCCCATCTTTATCTCTTCCCTTTCAAACTCAGGAGAGATCTCCCCCCTCCCCATCTTTATCTCTTCCCTTTCAAAAAAAGTGTAACATCTCTCAACATTCGGTCAGTTACAGCATCTGGAATTTAAACATGAGGAGACTTAGTGCTTCTGCAACACATGTTGAGTTTTGCTACAGGAGATGCAGGAGCACAAGAAGAAGATGGGTAGAGACTCAGTGAAACCTCTTCATGGCTTTGAATGAGGCCGATTCAAAGCTTTATTCCCACTCATCTTCCGAATTCGACTATTTTACCTTTACTCAAACATGGAGATCTCTTCAGCTGACCCGAATCTGAAAATATAATTCTTAATATATATGCTAAGGTAAAAAGTGCACTTTTAAAAATTCTTATGTTAAAAAACTGAAGCCCAAAACACCACCACCGAGTAATTCATGTCTCATTGTGCTTTCTGCTCTTAATTAAGAGTTTCTTCTTAAAAAAGCACATGGCAAAGACAGGCTAAAGATAGTGAGACTGTCCAGTAATGTTCTTTTTTAACTTTGGCATTTAAATGACAAACTTATACACAATTCTGCACTAATGCAGCCCCGCTCGGTTTCTAAAAACTAATAATACTTAGTAAACTAAAGTAAACCAAAGACTACGTAATACTGTCCCATGATTCATTTATTACACAAAATAAACTAAAAATGAGCAGAGTCTCCCTGCCGCCTGGTGGGCGCTTCCTGTGCATCACCCGCCCATTGTTCTGGTTCTGCAGGTGCTTCCTCTCCCGGCCCCACCCAAGGAAAGCTCCACAGAGCAAATCACAGTTTCTCATCAGTGCAGGAGGCTACACAGGGCGTCACTGAACCTCATAAAATAAAATTATGGCACATGGTTTATAAAGAAAAACCTCAACCTTCCCACCCTCCCAACGTGTAACAAATCAAAGCGGGAAGGAGAGAGCAGGCTGGCAGGGATTCTGCCCTGTGCACAGCTCCTTACTCAGCCTTTGAGGAGAGAAACCTGCTACTGTCAGAGAACCTGAGGTTCATGCAAAAATCTCTGGAGACATTCATGATTCAACACAACTAACATTCCTTCCATCAGCACTATCGTTTGGGATCCTGCGTAAGGACGTTTTATGCTGACAACTCTCCAAATGTTATGATAAACCCAAAGAATTATCAGTGCTTTAATTACCAGCAGGTCTAACTAGTTATGTCTAGACAGGGGGACACCAGGAGATTTCCAGACTCCTGAGTCCCAGTGTGCCTCGGGCCATTCCCCGGATCTCAGCAGGGCAGGACGTGGGTGTGCACAGCACCGACCCCCCGGAAAGGGCAGGAAAGGAAAGCAAAGGAAAGGGGGGGAGGCAGCACCCTCCCAGGTATTTCTCCTCCAGACTCCGGGGAGCCAGGAACTCCTCGCACAGGGCTGCTGAGAAGAGGCCAAGAGAGAACCCATCTCCTGCCCCTTGCTGCTGCCTCCCAGCCCCCAGCCACCAACCAGGGCAGGTGAAGACACAATCCCACTGAACCGTCTCCTTGTCTTCTTGTATTGTTAACATTTAATACACGTCTGCCTTGAAAACACCAAAGTAGAAATTGGATCAATCCTACTATTCCACGGTTGCTTTCTCTCCTTGCAGAGACCCCACCTTCTTACACCTCCCTGGAAAACTTCCTACACAAAGTGGTGAATGCAGCCCCTCCTGTCCTTAAACCCCGCACGGCAGGGAACGGTACTGATGGTCTGTCCCCTTCTTCACATGAAAAGTCAGCTCAATTCCAGTATGATTTGAACCTACTTTTCTAACACATATTTAATATTAATGGAGTATCTAATATCTGGTATCAAAGGAACGCTAAGGTAGAAATATCTGACAAATGTATTATTTACAATTTATCGTTCACCATTATTGGAGAACCTATTAATGGGACCAAAGTGGTACCACATTGGTTTAATGGTACCAAAAAGCCCGTGTAGTTTAATGACCTAGGATGGAAGGTCAAAGAACTGGTTTAATGGTACCGGAAGCCCGTATAGTTTAATGACCTAGGATGGAAGGTCAAAGTCACTTAGTCAGCGGTGTGATTTGTCTGAAAAATGTGACAAAGTAGCAATATTGGTCCCTTCATCACAAATTACAGTTAGTTGCAGAGTCCTGGTGCTGCCATCACCTTGAACAAAGGGTCAGGATGTGACTCAACAAGAAGCCTTTACCTCACTGCAGGGTAATGACTCAAAGAACAGGGAATAGAAGCGATCAGAGCCTTTATGCTTCTGTTTCCTTCCTCTCCTATTGCATTCTCGCCCCCGTTTCATTTGTCCAGTCAAATGAAAACTCACAGTAGTCCAAAAAACGTCTCATGAACGAACACTTTATTAATGAAGGGATTGCAGTAATTAGTTATGGGAGCACAACTGCATTTTCTTATCAGAGTATGTTCCCAGCACCTGTTTTTAGCAGCTGTTTGGACAGTGTAAGGTCTGTGGGGCTGGTTCTGAAGAGCACCCGTGCCTGCAGCGAGGCACCCACGGCTCCGTCCGGCAGCATCGCCCGGGGCAGGGAACTTCCTGGGCTATGGGCAGGAAACCCAGCTTCCACTCCCAGAGGAAATGAAAAAAGGGCAGCTTTTTAAAGCTAATCTGAGAGAAGGGGGGAAGGGATGTTTGTTTTTGACACGGTCATCTATAGATTTGAAAATTCTTTCTATTTCACTATGAATTAGGAGTTGAATTTCTCGTGTACTCTCTAATAACAGAGACCACAAAGTACACAGCACGTTCTTCTGCTCCTACCAACTGTGGATACCAGCTATGAACTTGCAATTCTATGAGGACACACTTTGCTCATAAATCAAGTCAGCTGCAGTGTTAAAAATGGAGCAACGTAGAGACATTGGAAATTCATTTCCAAACTCCTTAAAATACCTAGTTTCTCTTCAGCATGTTTAAGTAGCCCTTTTTTGCTAAGCCCACGGGTAGTCACTCACCAGTCCAGCTTGGCCAAACAGGAGCTGTACAGCAGTTTTGCAGGCCCCTCGCCAGGTGGAAGGACAGACCTGGTTGAGGACTTCAGTGACAGGAGAGTCGTCCCGTGGCGTGAGTCCGTTGTGGCATCCAGCTTCCTTAATCAGCTGCAGCATTGTGTGCTGGAAAGGGTCAGTAACACTTTGTCATGCTAAAGATGGGATTCAGAAATGCTAACCCCAACTTCCACACACATTTATCATTATTCTACACATTTTCCAAAACCTACGCTGTCTGTTACCTCCCAACAGTCTCATGTAACTAGAAAAGCTCAACTGCAGAACAGAAACACAGAGGACCTCTGCTCCCTGGAACACAATACTCCTCCAAAGTCATAAAGACTATCTTTGCTTATATTCTTGCAAGATGGTTTAATCAAAACTACAAAAAGCACTGCAAAGACAACAGAAAAGCAGCATTTTGAGCTGTGGATTATTCAACTGTTTCAAGGGCAAGGAACTGGGCTTAACTAAAAATAAATATCCATGAAAATGCTGATTAAAATTGCCCAAATTACTTCTGAATGGACATCGTTTCCATTCCTTTATACTGAAAATACAATTAACTTCTCTACAATTTAAAATTATTTTTTTTTAAATTGATTACAGTTTCTTAGGACACACTAAAAGGAGCTTTGTTACAAAAAAATATTTTCAAGTCCCTCCCTTAGCACTGGAAGGGTCTGGGCCAGGCTTATTTAGGCACCTAAGAGGGTGAGAGCTCTGAAGGGCATCACCCGGTTAGGGCACCCACAAGGGCTCACTTTCCACTCTTTGGTGCCTAACCACCCTATTTTCAAAGAGACCCAGGAAGCTTCGTTACCTCCTGGACTTCTGTGCTCCTCTCGGGTTGGACTGGATTTGCCCAGGTGGTTAGAACGTTATCAGTTATGGACCTACAATGTTATCAACACCTTGTTTCCACAGGAAACCAGGCTAAAAATACGCACTTTTAAATACAAGTTCAGCACTGAACTTCTACTGCAGTTGTTTTCTGAGTTTTAAGGGGTTCTAGTCTTTTTTTCCATTTTTCCCCCGACTCCTGTGGTCAGATTCAGGGTTATTACCGTTTTCAGCTTCAGGTTTTCTGCTGCAGACTCATTAAAGGATATTCCTTTCAGGAACTGGGATCCGATCTGCACAGGGACGGTGGGCAGCTCACACTGGATGGGCTGAGGTGGAGTCTGTCTCCTGCCTGTTTGCTGGGCTTCAGCCTCACTGCAGCAGCCCTGCAACACACAGCAGATCGATCACAAGAAACAAAGATGTTAGAAAACCTAATATGAGTCACTTTTTTTTTTTTTTAAAGTAGTTATTTTGCAGGTTTGGAGGGATGAAAGGGAGCGGGTTTAGCAGATCCTACCTGAAGACTCGCTTCAATAGCTTTGGGGTTCAAGTGGAAGCCAGCCTTCATGGCGTATTCGCAGTGGCCTAAGCTCTCCAGAGCCACCTTGTAGGCCTGGAGGGAACAGAAGGTTGAGACAGAAGAGGGGGATGAGAAGCTGCGGGCTTGGTACATGGATTTACCCTGCTCAGTTCTACAGCAAACACACAGGGATCATGAGATTCCAACACTCGGACACCTCGCGGGTGCCCGTGGTGGGTATCCCTGCAGTAACACCCTCCTTCCCCACTCCATCCCTCCCCAGGGGCTGCACCACCCCACGCCAGAGCCGCAGACTCAAACCCACCTGCAGAGCACTGTCGATTTTCACGTTGAGCTCTTTGAGCTGGTGCTCAGGGATTGCCACACTCTGCGAGCAGAAAAGCTGCTGCACTTCGATTCCTGCCAAACAGCCGTCGCAGCCCCTCTCTCGCAGTCGGGACGTGGCCTGTCACGTAAAATCAAAATCCAGGGTGAAGAGGTGCAACCTTACACCAGGTCAAGCTTAATTACATTTTAAAAAGAGCAAAAAAAAAACCCTGAGTTTAAAACATTATAAAGAAGATGAGAAGCAGCACTTGGTGGAAAGGATCTAGAGGAGGTGACTAAACCTCTTATTAAAGGTCTATGGCTGTTGAAAGTAGAAGTCTCCCGTAAGGTGTCTGGCACGTGGGTACGGGTGTTGGCCACCAACTTCACAGTGTTTGCTCTTACTGTTTCAGCTCCTGCCCAGAACTGAGGATCCTGTTACAGAGGAGGGACTCGGAACTTCAACATAAAGGTACTGCCCCAGAAACAGAGGGTACCTTTACTCAGGGGTACAGACACTCCTGTGCACAGCAGGTGGTGTGTTTTATGAAATTAAGAGTGATTACCGTGCTGCAATTTGAGAAGAGCTATCCTAAACCCCCACACAAATACTTATTTTAGTCAATCATAAACATTGGAGAAGTTTCTCCTATTATTATTCTGGAACTTGGGAGAATCTGTATTTTTCTCTTCTCCTCCCCATGCACATTTAATAAGGGATTCGATTAGTGCAATACTTAAACTATTTTGAAATACAGATTTTATTATCCAGTAGAATCTGTGTTTTTCTCTTCTCCTCCCCGTGCACATTTAATAAAGGATTCGATTAGTGCTATACTTGTACTAAACTATTTTGAAATACAGATTTTATTATCAGAAAGAGCTGAAATGGGCTGTTAAGGAGGTAAAAAAGAAAGTTAAGGTCCCACATTCTGCAAACCTAAGTTTAATTTTAACCACATTTTGAACCAACTTGATAGCAATTACAGTGCACTTCTAGAAACTGTAACACTGTTTTAAGGAACCAAGTATATTAAACTTGAAATTAACTATTTTTATGCAAAAAAGGAGTAAAGCTATACCAGGATTAGACACGTTACAATTATCTGTAATAAACCTAGAGGACTCCCAAATCCCATTTTATACAGTGAAATAAATTTATGCTGCAGTAAAACTTACAGACAATTCCTCTGCATCTCTAGTTCTGAAGGAAACCTGTTTGCTTTCCTGTACCGTGCAGACGTTAGCGGATAAATGGCAACCTTGACAAGAGTTCCAGTCAAGGCAATTAACCTGCCCGTGGGGCTGCCTAATTAGACTTTAAGTTACTTGAATTTAAGGGAACTGGGCGCTCGGTGATCTATCAGCCTGCAGACCTTGGCAGGGCAAGGGAAAGCAGAGAAGCTCATACAACTGTTTTTCTTTGTGAAGAACTTTTTTTAGCGGAAAAAGTAAGGATTCTGCAGATTTAAGTGTTTGTGAAAATACCAGCCCCAAGAGTGGTACACTGAAGTAATCTGATTGACATTCCAGCTTTGATGGATCGAGCAACACAAAGCTTAACAGCATTAAGATAAAAGTCTTAAAAGTTACATAAAGATTTTTATGTATAAAATAGAATTCATGCTCAAAATTTAAGAGAAATAGACATTATCTAAATTGTTTTTTATCAAGATTTTGCTCTGTTTTTGCAAAGACTTGCTGCATGGGCTTTTTTTCACATTCCCTCTGCTGCCAAACCCCATTTGATCGTTGCTAATTCACTGCTAATAACAAAGAGCTGTCTCCACTGTGTGTGTGCTCCCGAGGTACAATCGTACCGCAAAGAACACTTCACACAGAGCAGAGACAGGGCAGTCACCAGAAAGGTAAAGCAAGTTTTAGCACGAGGAATTAACTGCACCAAGTTCCCCGCCTGCAAATGGAGCATGTCTTTAAAATCAGAGATTTTCTTCCTTCATTAGGGCAACCAGCCTGAGCTGAGGTTTCACTAAACGTAACCAGTATTTCACTAAACACAAGGTCACTGCAGCACGAGCTCCGTACCTCTGCTGCTCCCCTCCAGGACCTTATTGCATCTTCCAGCTCATTCGTGGGGCTCACGTTTGAGGCTCCAGCCCCACTGACGTTCTTTCTGTCCTGTGCTACAGCCTCAGCAAAGCAGGCGTGTGCCACCGGCTGCACCTTCTGCAGCGCCTGCGACAGGAACTGGAAGTGGACCTGCAGCACCGTCAGGAAACACCGCCCCAGGACCTGCCGGAGAAGACACAGACCCATTCAAGCAAACAGAAGATTTCACAGAAGCCTTTGGGGTAAGGAATTCAGTTTAAATCACATCTTTTTTTTTTAATAAAATAACACTTTGGATTATAATATTTAACCATTTACTTAAGGTAAGGTAAACAGTGAGTGAGCGTTGATTTCTGTGAATTAAGGGGAGATCAGACCGACCCCGTGTCATTTTTACTTCTGCACTCAAGCGATGGTTATCTGAAGAATGAAGAGCTTGGTAAGGTACTTACCAACAGCGAGCACATGAGCCAATACAAAAATGGGAGTAGCCTATTACAAGGACAAAGTCAACAGCAAAACCCACTTGCACATAGAGCTAGCGGAACTTATGCTAAAAGAAAAAACAAACCAAAAAGAAAATCTGAATATTTTTAAAACATGATCATAAAAACCAGTGAAGTTTAATCCAGCAGTTTATCTTCCAAGCAGAGCAGTAGCTGGTACCATGAGAACCCTTTTGCCACACACCCCAGTGGCCGCTCGGTGCTGGTTTTGGAACACAACAGCGACTGCCGGCACCGGCACAAAGCTGAGCCCCGTCCCTGGCACTGTCTGCCAGGAACTGCCAACACGGGCACAAACCTTCTCTCCAGCCCATGGCACTGGAACGGGACGTGCAACCCCCTCGGGAGGCCAAGGGCTGCCAGTGCCACCCGTGGGGCTAAGAGCAGGGACGGGTGCCCACCTCCGCTGGGCTCTGCGTCCCCAACTTGTCCCCTCTCCCTCTCCATCCCCCTCCCTCACCAGTGCTAAAGGACAGACACACGCCCCAGTCACTCCACACCAAACACAGAAGGTGACACCAAGGGGATGCTGAGGTGTGGGAGAGCTGATGGAAGGGGGAAACACCCCCGAGAGCAAGAGGGCTCTGTCACCTCCCAGATCATGCTCTCCTCAGCAGACCAAAGCGTACACCGAAGCGTAACCACAACGCAGCGGAGAAGCAAGTATTTTCCAAATGACTGCAGAAAGTATTTAAAACCTATTGGAAGTGTTTTCTTTCTTCTACGCAGTTTGTCACACAAAGCGGTTGAAAAATGTATATTTGATTTATTAAAAAAGACTCAACTTGAATTCCATTTTAGGAATAATTCATAAAGTACACAGATAATGTACAAAGCCATCGTGCCTTGGAGCAAATAAATCATCTGGCTTATTTTCAGCTACATTCTTCTGGAATAAAAATATTCAGACACAATGATGTTACTGGCAGGACTCTGCAGTCACAGCACAGTTATATGCATTAACTATCTCCTGCAGAAGAACCAGTGGTGGCAACGCTTTCTTCCACGGCATCCGGACTCCTTTTGACATTCCATTCTGGTTCAATCACTTCCCTTCTTTGTACAAGGCATAAAATTAAACATTTTTGGTACTTTGACTGACCTCTGAAAGTGGAGTTTGTCTTATTAAAAAAAGCAGTCAGCAAATGATAAAATGGAGAAACTCCAGCTTTCCTGGCTATAAGATTAGAAAGCTTGATAAGAAAACTGCAGGAAAAGACAACTGGCTGAGTGTTTCTGTGTGGAGAATGCAGCTCTCAGGGGAAGAAGAAACTAGGACTCATTAGGAATTCCAAGCCGATTAAGTTTCAAAGAATATTTAAGGTACAGAGGTTGAAGTTTCCCCTGCCTGGGAATAATGCTCAAAATAAACAACTGATTTAGTTTTTAAGTGGCAGCACACAACATTCCTGGTATAATTTACAATGTTAAACAGCGAAGATAAATAGTAACATCTGCTTTGCTGAACTTCTGTTTTGTTTGAAAAACAATCTATTTGTGTCTTGCTCAGAAATGGGTAAGGATGGTTTTAACTGCTTAAATAAAATCCAAGTGGTGGAGGATTTTTGCACTGTTAAACACTCACTGCAGATGCCAAACTCACTCTGCTTTAAAGTTCACTTGTGGAGGATTTTCTTCCAAAGGACTGACTCTTGTCTTAACTGTGGGAAAGAAGAGGAACCACCACCAGTGGAACACCCAGAGCCAGGGCTGGGCAGCAGCTCCCCAGGAGCATAAGGCCACAGACCGAGCCTCTGGTGAAACCTGCAGAACAGTGTTAGTGCACGGATGCAGTTTTTTCACAGTTGACACCGCCATCTCTTTTTCAAGTTTATTTTTCCCTACTTTCCACACGCAGAAGTGTTTGAGTCTCCTGGCTTTAGACCTTAGTAAGAACTGGAATCATCACGGGTGCCAATTAGTGAGTTTGTCTTGGTAGCGCTGGTGGTTTCTTAATCCATTTCTTTGAATCATGAGCTCTTCAGCTTGCAAAGGCTTTGTCCCAAGAAACAGAGCTCTAGCAGTGATGTCCCAAGCCCGTCACCAGGCAGGACAGGGCTCTCAGCTGCTGAATGACCGTAGCCAAAGGAACCTGCCATCCTGTCCAGGCAGCTGGAAGCAAAGGGACTTTCTGGGGAGGTCTTCCCTCAGCCGTCCTCGGCTCTGCCACCGGGCACGAGTTTAACCAAACTGGTACGTACCAGGAGAAGCATCAGCAGGAGATGCAGCGTTAGGTCATGCTGTCACGTATGATCCTCCTCATGGGGGCACACAATCCTCTTTGGAATATTTTGCTGGCCAAAGTGCACACATAAAAACGCCAGATTTCATTGCTGAATGGTGATGCCACGCAAATTCCCTGGCATGCAAATCTTGCACAGCAGATTCTTCCAAACAGAGCACTACCACTAATAAAGTTAGCAAATAACCAGTGTCAGTCTTCCAGACTTGATACAAACACTCACCTGCAGTTCCCAGGACCATTTTATGTAGCAATTAAATTGTAATACAGAACTATTTCTAAAGACAACGCTAGCAGATCTGAGAGCAGACCGAGATCACAGACCGAGATAAGAGTGTCATTCCAGCCAGCTCCAGCATTTTCTACTGATTTGAAGCAGCTTTTTGCTGCTAACAGTTCCTCAACTTGGAGAAGTCTGAACGCAATCCCTGAAAACCACAGGCAAGATAGTAATAATAAAAATATTTACATTGGGCTTTACAATGTTTGCTAAGAGAAGCTTACATTTCTTATTTACTGAAACATTTTTGTCCCACAAGCTTCTTATTCAAAAATCTTCAGCTATTTTATACACATAGAAGCCCAAAGTTATCTCCATTTAATACAAACCAGAGTGTCCAAGCAAATAACCTGTGCCCATTGGTGCTCCCCTTTTGTGCAGAACACACGGGGTACGGCTCTGCCATTGCCATCACTTCCAAGGCCGTGCACAAGCTCCAGGGAATTAAACCAAGACTCACTCTTTGTATTTTGCAGCACTGAGGCTGCTTCAAAGCTTCACAAAAGATGAGGAAATAGACAAACTTTTGTCCGGTTTTAAATTCCCACCCTCCAGATTTCCTTTAACGCTTTTATGAACAGAAGCAGGGTTTTAGCGCATTCTTCCAGCTTACAAAACAGATCTGGAAAACTTAAACTACACTCCTGATCCCCCTCATTTCCAAGTTGTTCCTCACCCAGGCACAAAACACCTGAGAATTCTAAGCTTTTTGAAAGAGGAAAAGGAAAGACAGAAAATAAAAATCAGCATTTACATTTCTGAAACTAAGCAGCCTTGGGAAACTCCATCTGTCACCGACACTTTGATCAAGAGGAGTCTGTGCAGGCTGCAGAGCAGGAGAGGCTCCCCAGAGGTCATCCCGCTGTCCCAAGCAGGAGCAGTTTCACCTGGGTCACTTTTGGTAGATGCAGGTTTAACCTGTTCCATAAGTTCTTCCTGCTGGAGGCTCCCTGCCCTTCGCTCCACCTCACTGCTTCACTGACACTGCAAACTGCATCCACAGCACCTAATATGAATCCTTCTGGAACTGAAGTTCATTACTTCTCGCTCCACCTTACGTGGCTGTGAGGAACAGAATGCTGCCACCTCTTCTGGCAGCTTCTTACACACCTGAACAAGGCTGGTTTTCCTTCTCAGTCCTCTCTTCTGCAGAGTCAGCCTGTCCAACCTCTCCTCTGAAGTCCTGTTTGTCTGATTCCTCGTGCTACTCTCCTCGGGGTCTCTCCAGCTGCTCACTATTTCTCTACGTGCAGCAGCAGCGGTGCACGGCTGCACTCTCGTGTTTAAGGCCATAGGAACCAAAGCGAAGAGAGTTAAGTGCTTATTTCATGGCTCTTACAGGTTATAGTCGTGTTAAATACATGACAACCACCTCCTGGCACAACAGCAACAGCATTGATTTATTATTACAGCCACACAACACTGACTCCTACTCAGCATACGACTGCCATAAGCCCCAGAACTGCCTCACAACTGCTGCCCAGTGGCCTCCACTTGGGAGGCTGAAAATTTCTATTTATATGTCGTAACATCCAGTTTTCCTCCCTGAATTCCATCCCACTTGGAAAACTCATTTGTTCAATTCACAATTTATTTTTAATTCAGCAGCTTTTCCAGCATACTCCTATCATGAGTACCAGCACACTCCTATCATAATTGCAAGTCAGGCATTGCAAATACTTTGAAGAAGAAAGCATAAGAATAGAGGAGCTTCTCTTTTCACCAGCACTGCCCAAAAACACAAACAAGGCAGAGAGTGCTTTTGGTGTGCAAGTGATTTTGAAGAGAACTCCAATTAGAGAGAGTGACACAAATTCACACGCCCGACAGAGCCTCCCCGGGTAACCTACCTCAATGTCTTGTAGGCTGAACTCTTTTTGATCTTTAAAGTTCGCAGCTCCCGCACTCAGTTCCATCAGCATTTTTGCTATTTCTGGTTTTATTGCTGCTGTGAGTCGACTCGCCGCTTCCATGACATGTTCCTGCACGTCTTTCAGTTGCATAGCTGCCTTAGAGTAGTGCGAGTTCCTGAACACGCTGCTGAAAAGCTCGGTGAGGAAAGTGCTCGTACGGCAAAAGACGTTGAGTGCATCCAGGTATTTGGAGATTCCCTGCTGGATGTCGGCGATGGGAGTGGTGTGGGAGACGGGGGGGCCGCAGCCGCCCGCAGCGGCCGAGGAGCCCAGGGGGGACGCCGGGGAGGTGGATGCCAGCGGCGCGCTCAGGGTCCTGCCCAGCTCGGGCATCTGGTACTGCTGGTGTTGCTGCACTTTCTGCTTGGACCCGCCAAGCAAAAAGCGCCGCTTATAGTCCATTTTGCTTTCTTGTGCACTACAGCAATACATAAGTGAGTGCTTGTCCAAGGATTTCTCGAGTTAACAATCACTTGTCAAATTCCTTCCTCGAATATAGGGTTACGTACAGTAACAGCGGAGGACTGTGTACATAGGTTTCACAAAAGGCATTTCAGAAAGGCAAGCGTCTGTATAATCTGTATCAGCAGTGAGAAAGGCAGCAGATTTGCTGACTTTGTGTTTTCAGTGTTCGGTGCAGCCCTGCTGCAGTTATAAACTGTACTCAAAAAGCAAGCTGAAGTTATCTTAATAATGCTCTCTCTCTCGCGTGGTGCTCCGCTCCGCACACAGAAAAGCAGCGCCAGAGCAGAGAAGTTATCGCCTACAACGTCGTCATGAGCATATTATTGTCACTTGCTGTTAAGTCTACAAAAGTTATTTTTGTCAATGCAAATAATAGTTTGAGAAGCAATACCTTAATGCGATTTCCCCATTAGTAACATCAGGAAAAGTGGAGCAAACCACTGATCAACAGCGATTATAAAAGCAGTGCAGAGGCTCCTTCCTTGAAAAAGCAAATCCTTGTGTCAGCAGATCAAATATCTTCAAATGTCTTGACAGATCCAGTCTGCCAAATTGGTTTACTTGTAGTGTCTCTTCTTAATACTGGAGGGGGAAAAAAAAAAATCTGGACTCTGCTTACAGAAGACTTTGCAAGTATAAGCTATTAAAAATTAGAGTGTTTATTATTGCAAGCCTTCTTCCCCTTTCCTCCTTTCCTTCTTTGCTGAGGTAGTTGTTTCCGTTGTAACATTAAGAAGTGGTGCTTCCAGACTGCGTTTGCCCTCAACTGGAGACTCGGAACAAAAATGCACAAATGTACTTGTAAGGCCTCTAGGTCATTTCCTGTGGAGGGAAAAAAGAAGAAAAAAAAGAAATCGAGTTTGTAGCATTATGGAACAATGAGAAGGTTTAAGATTTTAACTCCCGCAGTGTCCGGGGGCACCTCTCTGGGCAGACCTTGTCACCGGGCAAGACAGAAAGGCAGGGAGAGATGCAGGGACAGTTTGAGAGGCAGCAACAAGTTGGTGTCATTCTGTTACTACACTCAACACTGCTGAGTATTTCCTCACTAATTCTCCCACCCCTGACTGTCAAACTTAAGACTACAATTAATCCCCAGTGCAACCCTTACACAGTTAAGAACAGTGGAAGGCTATTAACGCAGAGCTCAAGGGGAGTTAATTACATTTTCTGACCTCATCCTTTTAAAATAATTTAAGAATTAAGTCAATGAAACCTTTTTTCACACACCGCAATTTATTGCAGAAATCCGACTCCCATTCATTTTACTAATTTACTAAATCAACAGATACAGGTCCTTAAATTTTTCTTTAGTACAACAGCAGACCAATCTGTCTATATCCTACTGAAATTAGCTGAAAAACACAAAACATACACATCCCATCTCAGGATAAGGGTCAGTACCTGTCATATGCAAGGTGTTGTATCAGGCAGAATTGCCAAACATTGGCCTAAGTAACACTCCCAGCAGACAGCAAAACAGGGAGACACACAGCTCCTAGGGCTGCCCCGCTCCCCCGAGGCTGCAGAAGACACCGATGAAGAGGAGGATGTTATCAGAAGGGAAGTGTAATGCAGAGAAATACAACTTGGTCAATCCGTTTATCTAGCCCGAGCTATTTGTCACACTTCGGGCCACTCTCTCCCTTTCCTACAAATCCACAGAACTTGTTTTGATCACATAAGGACATTCTTTTCCTCACTGCAGCAACTGTGATGGACAAGGCTAATATCAAAGAGTAATTCATGATAGTGTTTATAGCATTTAATAATCCAGACACATCAGGAAGGAGCCCTTTAATTCAACAACAAAATGTTCCTTTAGCTATTACACTTGAGATATAAAACCCATATTAATATTGTCAGAGTGGTTGAGGAATAAAGATTTTATCTTCAGCCAAAATTTCTTATTCCCACCAATGTGAATAAACAAGATATCCATTCATTCATGCATTCCCAGGGTGAGCTCTGACACACACATTTGATACAAACTCCCAGGGACAAAGCAGCAGGACTACACAAGATGCAGCACTGGAGTCTCACTCCCACTGAAACAACAGACACACAAGTTTTTCAGGAAGTCATTGCTGCAGATGGTTCTGCTTCTGAGATCGACAGCAAATATTCTTTTATATTCCCACTTTTTAAAACCCGATAAACAGATAAAACACAGCAGCAATTCCCATATGCATTTCAGCATCCCTCATTAAAGTACTCAAGTTGATTACTTTCTTTCCTAACTACTTTATACTTCTCTCGATATCCAGATTGAACGCATCAAAGTGCAACAAACCCATTAAAACCAGAATTTTCTAGGAGGTCTTCATATCATATGCATAGCTGAAAATATTTTTCTCCTTGCTTTACAAGCCATGGTGCCGTACAGTGGGAAGTATGATTAAATTGGTTTTCTTGATTGCATATAAATGTAGACGGAACAAAAGAGTTGGTTGATTTATATGCATTGTAGAAGTAAATTGGTGATTATTTTCCCTAAGCAGACATGAATTTCACATGGCAGAGGAACTTAAGCAATGATCACGAAACATCTAAATGTTAATTAGAGCCAAAAGCTAAGAAGAAGGGGTTTTCAAGCTGTACAGCACTGAATTAGACAAGCACATTAGAGATGTGCTACAACTCGATGGTTCTGATTATACCCCGAGCCTTTCGGGATCAAACTAAGACACTGATCTTATCATTTGAAATGGTCTGGGATTTAGCCATACACAAAACTGCTACATCCTAAAAGATCATAAATGCAATGGATAGGGGAAGAAATGGTGTTGTTTTTATTTTCTGCAGCTATAAACAAACATGATAAATCATTGCATTTTACTTCCAGACAATTTCCTAGTCAAACCTGCAGGTACTTACTCAATTCTTCAACTGCAGTATTCCCTTGTAATAAGATCAACACAAAAGCTTAACAAGGACAGCTTGTATCTCCAGCATCTAAAATGTTACTTATTTAAGGAGAGAGGAAAACTGCAGTTCTCAACATGAGGCATGTGGGTAATGCTATACAGCTTACACTTTCCATACGCAGATCCTCAACATGCTACGGACAAAATAAACATTCTTCTTTTTGCATCTTTTCCTGAAAGAGTGAAGCAGAGAACGTTCCCACGCTCTCCTCTCCCTTCCCCAGTGCTGTGGTTCTGCTGCTGCTCGTGGGGCACAGACTGAAAGTGGGGGCTCTGTATTGCAACTATACAAGCTTTATGCCAATCTGACTCTTGCTGTATTAGAAAAAGAAAATAAAAAACTAAAAATCACAGTGTTTCATTCTAGTGATACAAGAACAGCATGTCACTGTTCAAAATATAAACCTTAAACTTGTACTTCACTTTGCAGAAAACAGAAATATTCACAGAAATCAAGTGCAGAAAGTATCAAAAAAGCTGGTTTGCCACAAGTAAATTTTATTCCTTCCTTTATGTAATCAAGGCCAAAACAGTGCTCTTCATATGCTAATAAACATTACAAATAGAACTTACATATAGCATAAACACAAGCTCCATACTGAACACTATCCTGCTGAAAGCTGTAAAATGCTCCCGATGAAGCTCACCCCATTGCTCATGTTCTGGCTTTAAGGGGTTAACACTGTAGTTATGGAACTGCTACTGGTTTGAACTATTTGACTTCCAGAGCGAGCCAAGCAGAAATCTGCAGGAGCTGCTCTAAAAAAAGGCCACATTTGCATAGAGGGAGGAGAAATTGCCTGAAAACGAGTGCATGTGCAAATCACATTTCACTGCTCTGTTCTGAAATGTAACATCCAACATTCTTTGCTTAGGTACTTCCCAAAACGTCAGAAGTGTTTTCTCCAGCTTCACTGATTGCAAGAGACACAAAGGGACACGGAGGACTGTCAGGCAAATGGCCTTTGGCACCCCTGGTTTGTGCTCCGGAGCCAGAAGGGGTGCAATCCCCGTCCCCCCGTCGGGGATCATCCCGCTACGATGAGGGGCAACCCTTCCCTGCACTGAGATGGGAAACGGAGCGGAGGAACCCGTGAGTAAAAGGTACCAAGGTATCACCATTAGTTCAGTTACACAATTACCCATGCTGTCAAATTCCTCTCAGCCAGCTCTATTTACCAGCTGCAGTGATGTTTTGCAGGCCATACTGGTTAAAAAGTTGTTGGTAAAAAAAAAGTAATTCATGCTTTAAAAAGGGTCCTGATATCAATTTTAAAAACTCTGCGCAAAATTAAAAAAAAACTCTTTTCATTTATAAACACGGACTTGGACATAAAACTTCATAATAATACACGAGCTGAAACAATATTTTGAAAATTAAACTTTTGAGTCGACAAGAGCAGCCGCAGCCATCTCCAAGTGATGCTGACCAGCAGAAAACACACAGTAATCTCTGACATCAGCTCAGTTATTCTGCACCTGTCATTTCATCCCAACACATCATAAATAGCCTTTCTGACAGGGTGGGCTGCAGACACTAGGAGACCTGGGAACCTCCCTATGGAATTTTTGGGGTGGTTTTTTGGTCATCCAAGCTGTAAAATCTCTTACTAGATGAGGACAGGGGGAGAAAGGGGAAGAGAGACAGAAATAGCCTATTATACCAATATCATTTTAGTTCTTGTTAGCTCATGAATTGCTTATTGGGATTCCTTTTTGGCTGCTCGCCCAGCACAGTTGGAGGGAAAAAAAACAAAACAAAACAAGCAGGGAAGCCAATCCTCACTGAACCCGTGAAGCTCCTGCTGCAACCACCCTCCTTCCAGGGTCTCCCCGTCCCAACAGCAGCTCACCAGACGCTCCGGCCGCTCTCCTGCCTGCTCCAGGGCTGGATGGAAGTTAAACCCCACTCAGTGTCTCCCCTCCCACCAACTGGGGAGCAGAGCCCACAGGACACGCTCCACAGGGACACGGGAGTCAGCACAGCTTCACTGGAATCATCAACTCGAGCATCCTATTTAAATGTACACAAATCTAAACAGACCTACTTATTAATATAGAAACTGATCTCATTTACCAGCAAAGCAATTACGTAGAGAAGCACGGAGATTTGTTAAACCTAAGCAGAAGGCTCCAGCAAGTTGGGTTTATTAACTCAAAGACCAATTTCACTGATGAAATACTTCCCAAATATTTACAGACAGTCTCTGAACTAATTTATTATGTATTTGTCTAGAGCTTTTTTCCTTTCAAAATGACCCTCCTTAAAACAAAGCTATTAACTTAATTGTTCCGATTTGTGTCTTTTGCACTTAGACTGAGAAATCCTCTAGAAACACATCTATGCTAGATGGCCAAAATGACAAAGACAAAAATATCCCTGTGCCCTGCCCAAAAAAACAAATCACCAGAGACTGTAATGAAAACGTCTCTGAAACAGAGAGGACTGGAAAAGGCTGAAGAATTTCAGGAGCTAGGTAAGGACCGAGGGTCTTGCCTGCTCAGCACTACATCACCTCTTCCAGAAAAGAATCCCTAGCTCTGAACTGTATAACTACACCCCGAATCAGAGTGTACAACTGCCCAACTACACCGAGTCAGACTCAGAGCTGTCAGTACACTGAGCTGGATTTTTCCAAGGCAGAGCCTACAGCGCATCAGGAGGCTTCTTACATGTTGTTTGAAGTAAAACACGTAACACTGCACAGCACTAACTCACGTCTCAGCAATGAGATATGACAGCGAAAGGAAAAGCTGGTGAAAGGAATGTGTTAAACCAGAGCTTCTTTCAGACTTGGGTGCCTCCCTGAACGTCAAAAATAGCTGCCTGTGTCAGCTCAGGATCGCCGTTGCAATCCTCCCTTGGCAATAGGTGCTTACGTTATCTATTTTGAAAGCAGGACCAGTTCCCCTTTGAGAGGGAACTGCGGGTGCAGAAGGGAAGGAGAAGAAAGTCCTGTCCCTTCTTTGGATGCAGTAGCCTGACAGAGCATGAGAAATTCCCAGGCGATGTGACCATCAGCCAGAGGAGACTTGAGCCTCCATCCCTCATCTCCCAGAAGGGTGCACGTCACATCAGCCACAAGCACCCTCTCTCTTGCTCTCCCAGAGCTGTGTGACGTGCCAAGGTGAAGAAAAGACTCGTGGGCCCACAGCAAGAGCGAGCGTGAAGACGAGCGGGAGTAAGAGCCCAAGTCAAATACTACAGCATTTAGGCACAACATACTACATGCACTAATATATATTCACACACACACACAAAGAATGACGTAGCTTTGCAGGACTGCGGAACTGTGGAACAAAAAACCAGATTCATTATGGACAGAGAAATTTATCAACTCATACATAGAAAACCAAGCCCAGCCTCACATACAAAACCATGGGCTCTGGCCTGATCGTTGCCGCTTGGGAAGATGATCTCAGGGTTACAACTGATTGGTTTTGCTAAATAAAACATCCGCTTGAAGCTGGATGGCAGTCAGAAGAGTAAACCTTATGTTACAAATCATTAGCAAAGGAATTGGGAAGAGAGCAGCAGCGCTGGAAAAGCCAGAAAGATCATCACACCACTGCATGAATCCATGGTTTCCCCACACTCCAAATTCAGTGTGCAGTTCGGGGCTCCTTATCGCTCTCTCTTCCAGAGGGGCTCACTTGCTTACCACATAGAGTGGCCACAGGCTCAGGAAATCCTACGTGCAGCAAATTGCTGAAGACAGAGTTTTAGATGAGCACAGCTCAAACACTCACCCTGTTCTTGCCTTCCCTTACGTATCCATTTATAACCTCCACGGGATAAAGGAGGTTGAGCTGGATCAATTTTGAAGTCTGAATCAGCGTGGCCACTTTTACCTTCTTATTCACTCCAACTTAGTGGTCATGGAAAGCAGAATATCACAATGACATATTGTTTACAACTGCTCTGGAAACAGAAGCATTTCCTCATCGATAACTCAGCTGTCAACTTTCAGACAGGGCTCCCAGCCATTCTGCTGCTCTTGCAGACAGAGATACTGCATTTCACAAATGCCACAGCACTCGCGCCTGTTCCCATACACACTTTTGAATTTTTCCGCTGAAAAAAAATATCCCTAAACCGAATTTCTAGAGTGTTTTAACTGAGTTTGTGATGCTATGCAACTTTAAAAGAAAAAAACAAACTCGGAGTAGCTTTAGTACACATTTTAATTATTTTAGTAGTGTTAGACAAAAGCGGTACTTCAAGACAGTGAAAATTACAGATCATCTACACATTGAAAGCTCTTCTATGAAGAAGAAAGTTGTGTACTAGAAACACAAGACAGATTATGTACTGAAAATCCTGTAAAGCCTTTGGGAGATTTTTTTTTTTGCCTGTTTGCAGCAAGGATGATGAAAGCTTTCAAAACATTTGGAGTAACTCAACACCAACAATCTTTCCTTTCCCAAATTGCTACGCTGCTTCTGAATTCTCAACACTTGCCACAGAACAAGTCTACAACATTCTCTTGATACCAGACAACACCAACAAAGAGAAAGAAAAAGCCCTGCAAATGTGCTTTTAGTTACATTAAATACACTAATCCTAACCCAGATATATAAATGAAGTGGTGACTATTAGCATGTATTTCCACATGTAAACTATTTGCTTTTTCGTATTTAGTACATATATTACCATACTACTACTTTGTGACCAGAATTAAAACCTAATCCAGTATTTATTAATATTTCTTCTCTTCATGGCAGAAGCTTTATCTATCTTAATGTTTGCCTTCTCCTGCAAGTCATTCATTGAAAGTCTCCTGCTTGAAAAGCATGAAGTATTCTGAAACGATACGAATTTCATTTCCAAAAATAGGAGCCAGGAGCACCCCTCAGACAAAGTGCCACCAGCACACACACTTACTGCCTCATGACACTTGCAGCCACCAGCTTTTTTGTCGCCCAGCTAAGGCAGAGAGTGGTGTCCCCCCACCCCAGCTCCTGCGCTGCGAGAGCAGCCCTTCCCCAGGCTGTGCGGGCTCCGCTGTTTGAGGAGCAGCACATTCATTGCCGAGCAGCTGGAGCTTTGCCCAGGAAAACAAACTATATTCTACACTGAAGAGAGGGACATGGTGATTAGGCCTTTCATATCCCTCTCATGCTGAAAATTATGGAATTATCAGAAAACTGTAATCATGGAAATGTTAAACTAAGGAGAATGTATTTTTACAGCAAATGAAGATAATTATGTTTACCATATTTGGACCTGAAGTTGGCTGGCAATTCAGTCTGTATATAGACAGCAATATCTGATTCACTGTCACAGGATATGAATAAACCAGAGCAATCCAGCGTGAATAACAGCCTCCCTCCTAGAACAAAACCAAATATTAGTGTGTACACAATGCTCCAAAAGCATCATATAATACTGTAAATAGTGATTTCATAAATAGCGGTAGTTGAATAGTTTTAACCTTAATTCTAAGAATTATTCTTGAGCTAGATCTTTCTAACAGAAGTCTCTGGAACAGCCAAAATGCTTTATTTCTAAAAAAATCTATGGTTTTAATATAGCGGATTATGTAGAACTAATTTCTGTAGCTGATGAAGGAACAGTGGGGACAAGTAATTTGGGGTGATAAAGATTAAAGAAGTAGAAACGATAACATGCATACTTCATAACCTTTCCTCATTTTTTTCTAATCAAAAAAGCTGCTTGTGCGTCGTCAGCACAGCATTCCCCTCCTCATTAGGACCAGAATTTATAAGTCTTAATTAAATATAGATGAGATTTTTAAAATAGCACTAACTCATCCTGCATAGCTGGGGTCAAAACATGATTAGTTATAAGATCAAAAGTCGCACCTTTCCAGTTTATAAATCTCTAATGCAAATCAAAAGGGAAAAATACAGCCCAATTTTGCCACCTCTCCCCCTCCAAGAGCACCCACAGCTTAGTGCTTCTCTCGTGGTTCTGCCTGTTTTACACAGCAGACAACGACAAAAATCCTTCCCAAGTTGCTCAATCTTCTGCAAATGCCATTAAGAACCGGTTCAAACACACGTTAAGCACCAGAGAGTCTCCTCTTGCCCTTCTTCTGCCAGCCCTGGGTCCCAGCAAACACCCCCCCACCTTCCCCGCG